AAAAAAAAAAACTTCGCCAAGGTTAAGAGACAAACATTGCTTTGTGTAATATGGGCAGGATTCTTGTACAACAAAAAAGCGTATAATGGCAATCTAATGCACACTTAGCAAAGAATATGTGAGACTTGCTTCTGGGTAGAGATGCATGAGACAGGGATATATTTAATCAGTAAGAGGATGAACCCTTTTCAAATTAGTCACATTGCAGCAATCGCATCACTTGCATTCATTCATGACAAAGGTGGGTTTAAACACAAATTCTAGTACAATGCAATTTGAGGCATTGTTGAAAGCAAGACCACTTTTTAAATAAATTGGGCAACGTTATTTTAATCCATTAGCATTTTAAAATATAAAGTATTTTTATTGTGCTGCGGCAACCCAATAAGTTATTGGGTACAAATAAGTACCCAATAAGGGTACAAATAATAACATTATTATCATTATCATTATAAGACCAATAAGCATGTGGGAGAAAAACGTCTTAAGTTTAGGTTTTAATATTTTCTGATGCACACTACACTTTTTCAGGCTGTAATCCTGAATTAATAGAAGGTAGGCCCCATTGTGCCCAGTAAGAGTACCTAAGAGAATGCATAGAATCAGACTGTGGCATTGATACACTCCAATTGGGAAGAAGGATGAGATATAAATTCAATATTGTAAATAATGTCGGCACCCCAGATCTAAGCATATTGGACAGAATAAAAAATGCATGAGTGGGCTTCTTCTTCTAATGCAATGGGACTTCACCTTCTTCTTCTTCCCCTCTTGCACTCTAAAATTTGCTCCTGAGGGTTCCTCCAAAGCACATTTCAAGGGTTCACAGGGGAGAAGAGGGAAGAGGAAGTTCAAGTATCACTGCACAAGCAGAAGTATATTCTTCTCACAGAGACAACCCATTACATGGAATTGAGCCCCAATGACTATACAGACAACTTTCAAACGACGAGATATACTTTCACATTTTATGTAGAAGTGCCTGTGAATTCATGTGGACTTTTTTTTTTTAAAGAGAGGGGCCAGAGTATCATCTTTTAAAACTTAACTGATTCTACTCAGATGTCCTGCTATGAACACATACACATCTGCATGTGTACACACCCAGTCACTCTGATGATCTTTAGCTTCCCAGCCATACTAATTTAGTAGAAAAAGAACTAGACTTCATTCCTGTACTGAATGCAAGATCTACACCAGGGGTAGGCAACCTAGGGCCCGGGGGCCGGATGCGGCCCAATCGCCTTCCTAATCCAGCTCACAGTCCGGGAATCAGCGTGTTTTTACATGAGTAGAAAGTGTCCTTTTATTTAAAATGCATCTCTGGGTTATTTGTGGGACATAGTAATTCATTATTTATTTATTTTTTCAAAATATAGTCTGGCCCGCCACATGGTCTGAGGGATGGTGGACCGGCCCACGGCTGAAAAAGGCTGCTGACCCCTGATCTACACAATTCACTCACTGGCAGTCCTATCTGCTGCCCATACAAAGTAACACCGGTCCTGAGAGATCTGCAATGGCTCCCAGTATGTTTCCGAGCACAATTCAAAGTGTTGGTGCTGACCTGAAGGAACGTCTCCACCCCCATCATTCAGACCGGACCTTGAGGCCCAGCGCCGAGGGCCTTCTGGCGGTTCCCTCACTGCAAGAAGTCAGGTTACAGGGAAGCAGGCAGAGGGCCTTCTCGGTAGTGGCACCCACCCTGTGGAACACCCTCCCATCAGATGTCAATGCAATAAGCAACTATCTTACTTTTAAAAGACATCTGAAGGCAGCCCTGTTTAGGGAAGTTTTTAATGTTTAATGCAGTATTGTGTTTTTAATATTCGGTTGGCAGCCGCCCAGAGTGGCTGGGGAAACCCAGCCAGATGGGCGGGGTATAGATATTAAATAATTATTATTATTATAAAAATATTAGCAAGAAAGCAATTTTAAACAATATAACTCTCCTAAATTTGTATCAAAAATTTGAGGAACATCAAGCAAGCCCAAATGATTTACATAATTTAAACTACAATCAACAAACATTAGTTACATCATCCCACCACTTTAAAAAGACAACAGAAGGATCTCTATTTCCTAATGCATGGCGGAGAGACATATCAGTTATATTTATTTAAAGACACAAGCAGTTATCTCTAGGACAATCAGGCAGAGATAGAAGGGCAGCAGCAATAAAGGGTATCACACTACTGCAGGGACTAGTTATATAGAACATTTAGTGACGTTGGCCCATTAGAAAAACTCCAATACACATGTTGGGTATATAGACTGAACTTCAGCCTTTTTAGGTTTGGCACCCACCTATTAACCCCAACCTGCAATGTGGGACTGAATCATTTCCCTTCCCCTAGGCTTAGTTCGGTGGAATCTCTTACGCATTTCTTCTGCCAAGTGAAATGCTTTTATTCTCCCAGGCATTTGGGGGTAAATTAGTTGTTAAAGCTTTATATTTTCTCATGCTGTTATTTTTTTATTGATTGGGTTTTTTTTAATGATTGCTTTTAATTAATATATCATTTTACATTATTGCACATTTTGTAACATGTTGGCTATTGCCCTGGGATCACCCTATGAAGGGCTATCTACAAATCTGGTAAATAAAATAATAATGACTATTTCTCCATATCTCTCTGTTCTTAACTCTTTCCACCAATCCCACTTTTTTTCTTTTATTATTTATTATAAAATTGGGGCGGTATAGTGCTGCTGTTGGGAGCTAGAACAGATTGCTGTACAATCCAAACAACTTAAAACCATGAAATAAGCAACCCAGAGGTCCTTGATTCTAATAAACATAATCATTCTTTTTTGCAACTCCAGTCCACATTAAGACACTGCTCTGAGCTACTTGCAATACTCAGCACCCCTCTTCTCACACTCGACTTACTTTAACTTGTGCTACTAATTAACAATTGCAGATGTAAACAAGCACATGCCCTAAGTAAACCCACTTCCCTCGAAGACAGCTGACCAGGCAAAAGACCCACCCCAAGACTTCTTTTTCACCTGCCTGCCAGAAAAGCATAACGATTGAAAACATCAACGACCTGGTCCTGAAACAAATGTTGGTCTTTTTCAAGTTCAGCTGACTTTCTCTGAAAAGATCCATAGGTAGCTGCCAGTCTGAACAGCTGACCCTTACAGCTCCATTCATATCAAGTTACACAAGCCAAGTAACAGAGTGAAAGTTGTCAATTACCAGCCGCAGGAGGAGGAGGAGGTGGTGGTTGAATGTGGGAAGACGGAGCACCACACAGGAACCTACGCCAAGCAAAAGCTGTAGTTTTGGCTGGCAAGGGGAGGGGGTGCATTGTTTTCCTCCCACCCCCTCTCCTCACTCAGCCACGCCGATTTCTGCCGGGGGTCCCGGGTGAGAATCCTCCTCTGTTTTGCATAGCGCTGAGAAAAGGGAGGAGGCGCAGCTAGCTCCAAGCGCGTGAACTGTTTTGCAGGACAGCAGAGTCAGCCTTCCTTCCACCGGCCTCCACTCTTTTTCCGCTTACCAGACGGAGGGGAAACACGGAGAGAGGAGGGGGCGCCGCAAAGCGGCAGTTCCCCCTGCGCGAGTCCCTTTGCAAGAAAGAGGGGCGGGCGAGTGGAAGCGGGGCGGGAAGAGCAGTCGGGGCCAAGGACTGCCTTGACACCCAGGCTATAAAGGCCGAGAAAGTTGCTGCCGGGAGCGGGTCAGCAGGAGGCAGGAAAACATTAGCAACAGCAGCAAGCAGGCCTCGCAGCGTCCCCTGCCTCTTGTCAGACTCTCACCCTCCTCCCCTTCCTGCCTTCAGGCTTGCAACAATCCCAGGCACGCTTGCCACGGGAGCAAGCTCCACTGGCAGACCACCGCAAGGGTCACGCTGCGAATCTGAAAGCCGAAATGCCCGCTCAGCAACACGGGAAGGCCAGCTTGCGAGCAGCTATGCCTAGGATCCCGCGGAAAGGCGGCAAAGCTGCTTATACGCACGTTTGTACTTGGCCTATGCTGAACGCAGAGCACAGGATTGCAATGCAAGGCCGCTAGTCCATAGGCGGAGAGAAGAGGGAAAAACAACCCTTGCTTAGCGTAGCATGGAGCTGCGATTCTCTTAGGAGCTGCCTCCCGGCGAGCACAACGGCATACTTCCGAGGAAAGCATGCACAGGGTGGCACAATAAGGCCGCCGTCCAAGCACACCCAGGAAGCAGGCTGACATCCCCATGAACGTGCACAAACGGAAGCAGTTTACCCATCAGCAAAGCCTACATCCAAGCAGGCCTTGCTCCCAAGGAAGTGTACTTTAGGATGGCGGCCTCCCATATAAGAGGTTTGCCCCCCAAGTGCCCAAGACTGCAAAGCCCTAACCCCACTCGCCAGGGAGTAAGGAGGCGCGTTTTAGCATGGCAGCTTCTACATTTGGCTCCCAGGTTAAGGGCCTCTGGCTGCAACCCTATTTACCCCAGGAAATCAGCCCCACGACATTTCCTCCCTGCTTCTAGAACGGCTGCCTCTCAGCTCCGTGGGCCTTTACCTCTCTTTTCCCGCCGCCGCAAGAGGTTAAATGCCTACGGGATTGCAAGCTCAGCCGGCTGCCATCCTAACAAAACCCCTGTGTGCACGCAGGAAATGACAACAAACGGCGTTTTCTCTTTGTTTCAGCCTGGCCACCTGAGCTCCGTGGGCCTTACCCCCAGGTGGACTGAGTGCCCACAGGGTCGCAGGCTTCAGCATGAGGCTACTTGCGATCCTAACTCTGCTACAAACCCTATCAGCATTTTCTCCCTTGCTTTGGCTCGGGTGGGCCTCATCCCCACCCAACCCACCCCCGATGGGGTGCGAGTGGTGGCCAAGCGCCCAGCGGGCTGCAGGCTCCAGCTCCTCAAGCAGCGCAGGGAAGTCAGCACCGCCGGATCCTCCAGCGTTTCCTCCCCGCAGCGCCTGGGCTTGCTCCCGAGTAGCCCCGGCTTAGGCTCGCATTGTTGAAGGCACAAATAACAAGAAGGATAAGGAAGGCCACTCACCAGGGAGAAGAGGTTGGAGTGACAGTCCTCCAGGCTCGCCCCGTTCGCCACCGCAGTCATGATCCTCCTCGGCGAGCCCGGCCTCCAGAGCGGGGCATGTCTGAGGAGGAGGAGGAAGGAGGAGGAGGGGAGGGAGGAGGAGAGGGGGGTCTCAGGAAGGCCGAGGTGGGCGGGCCCGGCCGGCCGGTGGAGACGAGGGGGGGGCGCCGCCGCCGCCGCCGCTCTCTTTTCAAGGCCTCCCCCCCTCCCTCCGCGCTTCTTCCGAGGAGAGACGGAGGAAGGAGGAGAGACGCCGCTCAGCCGCCTCGCCCACCCCGGCCACACAGCGCGGGCGAGGCCGGGCTCTCTCGCTCGCCTTCCTTCTCCTCGGCGCCCGCCCGCTTCGCCAGGCAGAAAAACAAAACACACACGCACACAAAAAAAGAAACGAGGAAGATCGGCGCGGGCGGCGGCAAGCGGAGTGCGGCGGCGGCGGCGGAGGAAGGTGTGACGAGATGTGAGGAGGCGGCGGCGGCGGCGCCGGGTGGGTCCTCCTTCTTCACGGGCGGAGGAGGAGGAGGAGGGCGGAGGAGGACGGGGCCTCCCGCTTCCTTCTCGTTCCCTCACACACGCCCCGGCTCCTCGCCGTCGTCGTCGTCGCAGTCGTCACCGGGATATTAGTCGAAGCGCGGTCCCGTTCGTGCGCGCGACCGACCAGTCTCCCTCCTCCTTTTTGGCCCCCCCTCTCTATTTTTTCACCCCTCCTCCTCCTCTTCCTTTTCTTCTTCTCCTCAGCGGCGGCGGGGAGCTTTCCCCCCCTCCTCCCTCAGCGCCGCCTCAAACGTACATAGAGATATGTACACACACACACACACACGCTCACATACAGCCCTCTCGCCTCAGCTCAGGGCTCTGACAGCAATGGCGGCCGCCAGGAGCACCGCGCCTCGCCATTGGCCCAGCGTGGCCCACGTGGGACAGGCCTCCCGGCTGGACGGGGAAAGGGGAGGGAGAGGAGGGAGGGAGAATGAGAAGAGCGGCGGCTCTCCTCTCTCAGGCGCGCCCGCGCGCTGTTACGAAGCGCTCCCCTTCGCCTCGGCCGCCGCTAGGGGCGCTGCGGAGCTGGAGTGACTAGAGAGCGGCGGCGGCAGGAGAGGCAGCCGTAAGTAACCCCTGCCTGGCCGGCACTACCTTGCTGTAGTGGAATGCGCAGAAGTTGCAGCAGGCGCCTGGGTACAGGGACACACCAAACACGCGAACCACGTTTTCCCACTCGCCCGAAAAGGTGAAAATGGGAAGTGTAGTTTGTTCAGGGAGGTGTAGTTCGGTGAGGAATAAACTAGCCATAGAAGTAAGGTAGCAGGACCGACGCACCGACCTTGCTGTAGTGCAGAAGGCGCAGGGGGCTCTCTCCTTCTGAATGCACGGGCGTTTAAAAAACACACACATTTATCTTGGAAGCTGTAGTTTGTAGCAGGTGCTGGGACTTGTAGTTTGGTGGGGGGATAAAATGTGCAGAAGATGCTGTGGGTGTTCTTTTTTCTCTGGATGAGTGCACACTATACATTTAAAGCACACACACACACACCGAAAAAATGGGAACTGTAGTTTGTTGCAGGCACCGGGAGTTGTAGTTTGGTGAAGGATAAAGTGGTGAATGAATGAAGGTGATGGCAGAAGCAGTAGTACTACCCACGCTACCTCAGTATAGATGACAGTGAAGAAGCTACAGAGGACTCTTACTCTTTCTCTCTCTGACTGTGTACACACCATATACTAAAATAATGCTCCCCCCCCCCAGTGCTGGATTTATGTAGAAGCTAAATAAGCTATAGCTTAGGGCCCCACTCTCTTGGAGGCCCCCCAAAAAATTAAAGGGGAAAAAACTGGATGTACTTTTCCAAAATATAAGATAAAAAACAAATAAAATGGCTTTAGATACCTATTAGGTCCATAAATTACCGTATAGCATATATTCAGCACAGAAAACAGTGACAATTTATTGTTGACAAAGGACAGCTGGACATATAAAGGGCCCCATTACCTTCCGTAGCTTAGGGCCTCATCAAACCTAAATCCGGCCCTGGCTCCCCCCCACAAAAAACCACAACACTCCCACACTCCAGGGAACTTTAGTGTTTTAAGGGTACTGGAAGTTGTAGTTTGTGAGAGATAAACAAAGGTAGTGACATGAGAGGCAGCAGTAATGCCCATTTCTCCCATCACACTGTAGCAGAATGTGCAGAAGTGTCAGTAGGCTCTCTCTGGATGTATACATACATAAACTTATTCATTTATATCCCACCTTTTCCTCTCAGTTGGAATACCGTGTTCTCTCCCTCATTTAATCCCCACAACAACCCTGGGAGGTAGGCTAGGCTGAGAGGCAGTGACTGGCCCAAGGTCTCCCAGTGAGCTTCATGGCTGAGTGGGGATTTGAACCCTGTTCTCCCAGCTCCTAGTCTTCATGTTCTAACCACTATACCACACAGGGTCTCCTTAAAGCACCCCTCAAAAAGGGAGAGTCCTGTGAACTGTAGTTTGTTACGTTGTAGTTTTGTGAAGGATAGACTACAGTTCCCAAGATTTGTGGGGTGCTTTAAATGTGTGGTGTTTTTGCAGCCAGCAAGTCAAGACGGGACACAGAAAAGCCTCCATGTACACACCATATTTTAAAGTTTATCCCCATTAAAAAGAATACTGGGAACTGTAGTTTGTTGTGGGTGCTAGGAGTTGTAGTTCTGCGTGGGATAAACTAAAATTCCCAGGATTTTTGCAGGGGGGCAGTAATATAATTTAAATTTATATGTACACAGCGAGTTGAGAAGGGATGTGGTGTAGTATATAACCAGTGCTGGAGATACAAGCCTAAGAGCAGTTTATGGTATGTAACAACTTGTAATTGTAACCAAGTCTGAGAAGGTGTATAACTGAAACAGTTGCATATTGCTTCCTTGTTTACCACCTTGTTTTTTCCACTGTGTCAAGTTTTATTGTAAGTTCTCAGCCTTCTGTCAAGTGCGATGCACACTCATGACACTCAATGACTAATGAACTGTTATTATTATTGCACAAGTTTTCTGCTTCTGGGGCACTTAGAACAACATATATCAAGCCTGTGGATCCTACTGAATCATTCGCATCTATATAACATCTCCTCTTCATCTGCCGAGAAAAATTATAAACCGCTTGACCCAAATGTTCTCCAAATATAAAGATAAAGCATGGCTAAAATCCACACCCAAACAGACATAAAACCTCTGCTGTTAAAAACAAAGGTAGCTAATTAAATTGTGTGTCTGCATAGGCTTGGCGGAACAGAAAAGTTTTCAGCACGCAGCTAAAACAAGACAGCGTTTGCACTTCACTTGGCTATCTCTTTGTACATTTGGTGGGCATATATTACTCTATATGTGTAAACTAAGACAGATTTATTGATAGTTATTGTACTATCAGCGTGAACTGACAGCGGTGGAATCTGGGATCCCCACAACCACCTGTAACAATTTTTCAGTAAAAACCCCCCAAAACCAATGACAAATATATAGTGTTTTCCTCATTTGCCACCTTGCAAGACAGGTAGGCCGGATCGAGAGAGATACAGTGGTACCTCAGGTTACAGACGCTTCAGGTTACAGACTCCACTAACCCAGAAATAGTACCTCGGGTTAAGAACTTTGCTTCAGGATGAGAACAGAAATCGCGCAGCAGCGGCGTGGCGGCAGCAGGAGGCCCCATTAGCTAAAGTGGTGCTTCAGGTTAAGAACAGTTTCAGGTTAAGAACGGACCTCCAGAACAAATTAAGTACTTAACCCGAGGTACCACTGTTGCGACTGGCCGAAAGTCAACCAGTATGACAAGCTTCACGAGGATATAAATCTGGACCTCCCAGGTCTCATCCTGACACTCTTCGCCACTTCTTTTAACACAAGTAAGTCCTGCTGAATGTTCAGCAGGGGGGTTTTTACTGCCAGGTTAAGTCACCCAGGGTGGACTTTGGTAATCTTTCGTAATATGGTGCCTCATGTAAGGCCAACATTTGGTGCCCCAAAATGGATCTTCTCAATTATGGATCTCCTGAGTCCTGCACCAGCTTGGCACCCAGGGGACGGGGGAAGAGAGAAACCGCCCGCACCACCCTAAATATGGTGCTGGTGTCACCTTAGAACAGGGAGACTCCAATTCAAATCCCCACACAGTGACAAACCATATTGTATGATCTTGGGCCTTCCATTATTTATTATACCAGTGATTCCCAAACTTTTTCAGGACACCCCCCCCCCACGGTTCCATAAATTCATCCCCAGTGCCCCCTAAAGCATTAGTGGTTTGCATGACTCACTAAGGAAGATAATGACACAATAAAATTCTAAACAGCAACAATGAATTGCACGTTTATTTGGAATCCAATTAAATCAATTTAGTTTAATTAATTCAACAACACTGATGCACTTGTTCCTGTGATACCAGCTTTTCACAGTCTGCCCCTTGCCTCTTGGCACCTGCCTAGGCAATCCCGCTCCCCCCACCCCAGGGGACAGTACTATCCACAAAGGGAAAGGGAAAGGTACCCCTGCCCGTACGGGCCAGTCGTGTCCGACTCTAGGGTTGTGCGCCCATCTCACTTAAGAGGCCGGGGGCCAGCACTGTCCGGAGACACTTCCGGGTCACGTGGCCAGCGTGATGAAGCTGCTCTGGCAAGCCAGCACCAGCGCAGCACACGGAAACGCCATTTACCTCCCCGCTATAAAGCGGTACCTATTTATCTACTTGCACTTAAGGGTGCTTTCGAACTGCTAGGTGGGCAGGAGCTGGGACCGAAAGATGGGAGCTCACCTCGCCGCGGGGATTCGAACCGCCGACCATGCGATCGGCAAGTCCTAGGCGCTGAGGTTTTACCCACAGCGTCACTCGCGTCCCTATCCACTTAGGGAACCACTGTCTTAATCTACCCCACGGCTCCTTTAGAGAAGGGCAAGTTTAAAATGTAATAAATATTGTGCAGGGGGGGGGGAAATACTGTGCAGGGTGGGGTGTGTGGAGAAATATAACAGAAATATAACAGGAGGAGCTGAGGCTCCAATACTTTGGCCACCTAATGAGAAGAGAAGACTCCCTGGAAAAGACCCTGATGTTGGGAAAGATGGAGGGCACAAGGAGAAGGGGACAACAGAGGACGAGATGTCTGGACAGTGTTCTTGAAGCTACCAGCATGTCTGACCAAACTGCGGGAGGCAGTGGAAGGCAGGAGTGCCTGGCGTGCTCTGGTCCATGGGGTCACGAAGAGTCGGACACGACTAAACGACTAAACAACAACAACAACAGGAGGAGTCACATTGACAAGCTTCCATGGACTTCTTCAGATCTATGCTATGGTTAGTGTTGGACTAGGACTAAGGCAGTGATGGCCAAACTTGGCCCTCCAGCTGTTTTGGGACTACAACTCCCATCATCCCTAGCTAACAGGACCAGCGGTCAGGGATGATGGGAATTGTAGTCCCAAAACAGCTGAGTTTGGCCACCACTGGACTAAGGGGACCCAGGTTCGAATCTACTCTTGGCTATGAAACCCAGTAGATGACTGCTGGGATAAGATGGGATGAAAACTTGCCATAACGTTAAGGTACCTCCTGCATACCTCTCATATCCTCCACCATGGAATGTACAAGTCACGTTCTCTGCAAATGTATAGTTCTCCCATTGGGGCTTAGTTCGGCTGGTTTATAAAGGAAATTAGAACATACAAAACCCTGCAAACAGTTTGATGTTCACTGCCACCGAGTCACAAAAGCTACCAACTCACGAACACTTGTAAATAAGCCTTCTTGCAATCAATCAAGTTCACTTACGAGTAACCGGGGATCAGGTGATGATTTGTTCTTTTCATTTATTTAAAACTTTTTAATGCT